ATGCATCCAATGTGGCTATAGGATCGGTATTAAGTCATAAGGATCATCCTATCTATTATGCCAATCAATAATTGGTGGCTGCCGAATGTAATTACACTACTACTAAACGAGAAGCGTTGGGTATGATATATTCGGTTCAGAAACTTCGGCACTATTTGCTTGGGTATCCGTTTTTTTTTTATGTAGATCATGATGCCCTCAAATACGTGATTAATAAGCCTCAATTTAGTGGGTGCATTGCCCGATGGATCTTACTCTTACAAGAGTTCAATTTTACAATTGTCATATGACTTGGGAAGAAACATGCCAATATTGATCATTTATCCCGGTTGTCTAATATTCTCGGCAACAAGCCTCTTCCGGATGCTCTTCCTGATGCCGAATTATTTGTGGTGGATGTGATTTCCCTCGAGCATAGTGAAATCATTTAGTTTTTGACCTTCCACACCTTTCTACCGACTTTCACTGAGAAACTTAAGAAGCGACTCATTCTGAAGAGTGCCCCGTACACAATGATTCGTGATGCTTTGTATAAACAAGGCAAAGATGGCATTTTACGCCACTGTATCTTTCCAAGTGAAGTACAGTCGATCCTCGAAGGTTGCCATTTGGATAGTTGTGGTGGTCATTTTGCGGGAGATAGTACTGCTCGCAAGGCTTTAATAGCCGGGTATTAACGGCCCACAATGTTTTCTGATGCGTACCAATTTGTTTGTCGTTGTGATCCTTGTCAATGAATTGGTCGATCCACGGGTACTTCCGCCATGCCGTAAGTTCCAATCTTGGCACAGGCACCGTTTAAAAAATGGGATATTGATTTTATCGGTCCCATTGCACCAGCGTCAAAACTTAGCCAGAAGCGATATATTTTAGTCGCCACAGACTATGTAACGAAATGGACAGAGGCTATTGCTACCCGCAATGATAATGCCATTACGATGGCTACTTTTCTATATGAGAATATTATAACTTGATTTGGATGTCTGAAGGAATTGGTTAGCAATCGCAACATCCATTTCATAAATGCTACCATAGTTGCCTTGACGAACACATATGAGATTAAGCATCGAAAAACCACTCCATATCATCCTCGTGCTAATGGAAAAATGGAAAAGACCAATGGAATTTTATGCAAGGTCTTGACTAAGATAATTTCGGAGGCAGGTACCAATTGGAAGACCAAACTCTTTACAGCTTTGTGGGCATATCGCACCGCATATAAAGTAACTACCAACTCTACTCCGTTTTAACTACTTTATGGTCAAGAGGCAATTTTACCCATTGAATTGGAGGTTCAAAGTTTACGGATTACCTTGGATGAACGACTCAGTGACAAAGAATCATTACATTCTCGGTTGGCAAAATTAGAAGAATTGGATGAAATACGGACTACAACTCTTTTTCACATGGAAGCAACTCAAAAACGGAGGAAGAGTTACTATAATAGTAAACTACGTCCAAAGATTTTTATGCTCAATGATTTGGTATTATTGTATGATAGCTGGTTTAATCATTTTCTGAAAAAATTTTAAGTTTGCTGGCATGGATCGTATTGGGTGATTGAAGGTTTTTCTAATAGGTCTATTCAATTGGAAGATTTCATGGGCCATCGCTTCAGTACCCGCATTAACGGGAACCAATTACGATTATATAATACATAAAATCCGGGACGAGTTTTCATTTTTTTTGGAAGGGTGACTTCGAATGGACACAAGGTAGACCTAAGTATGGTATAAGTGCATTAGGGTGTAGAGGCAGCTGAAAAGATAGTTATTAATTATTAATGTGTCAGATGGGACGGAGGTGAGAAACGGACAGTATGGGTAACATGTTGTCATTATCACTAAGTAGTAAAAAGAATAGGAGTGGAGCACTAGTTAGAGGTCATTCTGTATTGTCATTCTGGGTGGTTTTTTTTTGAGATTGCTATTTCTTGTGTTCCTTACGTTTTCAAGCGTAGTAGTTCCAGTTAAGAGTTTGAGAGAGGGAGCGTTATGGCAATTGAAAGTGCAAAGCGAGGTACATACAAAGAAGATAGTAGACGAAAAGTGAGAACTAGACGCACATCAAACCACTTTCTATGATAATCATTACCGATAAGGAGCCAATAGATGGATTGGATGAGGAGGAAAATTTGAATTTATAATCAGAATTGGTGGAACCTACATTCGATAATGTAGCAAATGATTAATTGGATGGTCCAGAGGAACTAGTAACTTTGTAGAATTTTGTTAAGTAGTTTTTAGATAGGAATCAATTGTGTGTTTGCGAGGAGGCTGCACAGATAGAAGTGGAGCTGTGTAGAATAGATATTAGTTCGTTTTAGTAAGATATTGATAAAATAGATTAATAGTCCATAGAATAGTCAGTTCAGGAAGATAGATGGTTGATTTAGTTATTAAAAGCAGTTTATTATAGGATTACGGTTAGGATCTAGAAATCAGTAGCAATTATATAGGAGTTGTAGAAGTTTGTTGGAGTACCAAACTGTGATAGTCATGAGCCGAGATTAAGCTTGGTACTACCTCTTTGTTCTCTTTGTTTTTTTGTTGCTAAAGAATAATGGATAGTTTTTGAATACTGAGAAGTGAGTTTGTGGAATAAATCAGAGATTGATTTATGAGTTAATGATTATGTAATTGGAGTATTATGTGATTGAATTATATGAGAAGTTATTGGATGATTGATTATGGATGGAAGATTATAATTGTTGTTTATTGAGAGTTGTGTGTGTTTTGGATAAAGAAAGTCTGTGATTACAGAAATTCTATGAATTCAAATTGGTTGGAGTAAAGTCTGTTATTCCTGGTGTTGGATGGAATTTATGAGTTTTGAACAGTCTTTTAAGAGTGCAAGGTTGTACACTATTGCTATCAGTTGATGAAGGAGTATTGTTACTAGAAGGAAGCATTGCAGTATTTCTTCGAGTTTTAGTGATTTAAAATACGGTTAATTGTGTGACCCTAACAAGTAAAGTTCATGTGCTTAGTCTCTCTATGTTCGAATTCTCCTATACAAGTTTATTCTGAAAGGAATTTGTAGAATAAGTAAAACAACAATTACAATAAGCCTATAGCTATACCTTTGGAAGCCAATTTAAAGTTGATGAAGCTCACTAATGAAGAATTTGCTAAAGTTGAAGGTCAAATATAAGGTATTCTATACAATGTAGCAATGAATTCACTTATGTATCTAATGTTTGGCAGAAGAGTAGATCTTCCATATGCAGTAAGTATTGTGAGCTAATACATGTCAAAGGTTGGATCAATCCATTGAACAACCATCAAAAGGATCATGAAGTAGTTAAAAGATACTTTGCATTTTAAATTATGCCTTAGAGATCATAACATTACTTTACATGGTTATTGTAATGTGGATTGGATTAGAGATGCAAATGATAGAAGATCAACAATTGAATATGTTTTTTTTATCGGAATGGAAATTATTTCATGGAATTATAAAAGACAACCAACAATTGCAAGATCAACAATAGAGGCAAAGTATATGGCAGTAAGCCATAGTGCAATGGAGGCAATATTGCTAAGACAACTTTTGGAAGACATTAGACTTGTACAAATGGAAGCAACTTCAATGAAGTGTGACAATCAAAGATGTCTTGCATTTGTAAAGAATCCAAAGTATCATTCAAGTACCAAGGACATTGACATTCAACATTACTTTATAAAATAAAAGATTGAAATGAGAGTGATTGATATGAAATTTCATGCAACAAAAGATATCCTTGCTGATTTGTTGACAAAGATATTAGTAAAAGATAGACATCACATGTTAACAAAGGCATTAAGATTGAAAGCATTTAATTAATAGCAAAGTGAGAATGTTGAAATAAATAAGTAAAAATGAAAGTAGAATAAGTTACATTATAGAGGATATTATTTTAGGTGAATTGCTAATGATAAAAGAGTAAACTCTTGATATATAAGAAGGCCAAAAAATAAGGTAGATGAATGGACAAAGGATCTTAAGAATACAAAAAATATTCTAAAAATATATTTTTATAATAGATAAAATAGATATTAATAGTTTAAATAGAATGTTAGATGGATATATTTAGTAAAAGATGGAAGTTGTCCATTAGAACAACTTATAAGAACATTAGGACAACCACCACTTATAAGTAACTAATGTTGGAAGTAAAAAAACATCTTCCTCCATACTTTCTTTATGAGCAACTTTGCTAATGATATATATATTGGTGATTTCAAAGTTCTTTTTTTTCAATACATTACATCAAATCCCATATTATGCATGAAAAAAATGAGATTCAAAAAAATACCACCATAACTTCATACTGTGAAGTCAACCATTGTTTAAAAAAAAAAAAAAAAAAAATTGAGTTGAGTAACAAGGTCAACTAGGAACTGAAATCCTAAAAACAGGGATGTCAGCAGAGTGTTGGAACCAAGACCATGGACACAATTCTCAAGGAGCTTCAAACTAGAACTTTGAAGAAGAACCTCAAAAATGTTCACACCCTTATAAATAATCACAGGTACTCGGATAGGCATACTACCCAGTAATCCCAACCTAATGCAGAATGCGGTGGGCAAACACAGCAATTCATTTGCCAATCTTCACCAATCAACAAAAACATGCCCAGCCTGGACGTCTCAAACGAGGTCACAAACCATAACAAAGACACCCAAAGCGATGAGAGCAGGACTGCCAATCTGAAGACACCCACTTGAAATTGCTGACGTACTCGAAAGCCACCCGCCGACTGGCCTACTGAACTTTGAATCAAGGCCAGGACATAAACAGACAGAGCAAAGTAAAAATTATTATTGCAAACCTGGATAAGGCTGACACTCAACTTCCTATTGACACTCCAAAATATGAAGAGATATCTACGATAGATTAAGAGATAGCATGTCTCTGTACTGAGCAGCAAAAAACAAAAAAAAAAAACAAATACAAAACAAAACAAAAATGAATGCCGTAGGAATCGCTGGATAGATAAGACTGAGAAATGAACTTGGTGGTTAGCGATGGTGCTTGACTGGAAGGAAGCTTTCCTAGCGTTTCTACGAGGATGGTGATTTCAATCCAGGGGAATGAATCATGAGCATTGAGTGTGCAAGACTGGGCGACAGTGATGACCAGGACACTGGTAGAGAGGGAACGAAAGGGACTGGCATCATTGTGAGAGAAGGTCAGAAGGGAAGGAGGCCGAGGAGGTTTGGAGCAGCGTTGAGAGTGTTGTTTCCAGGTCGTTGGAAGTGATACATCAGCATCGGCATCAGCATCAGCATCTCTAGGGTAGTGGGACGAGGGGTAGAATCGTAAGCAGTGTTGAGGTGATCTTTTCCGTCGCTATGAAGCTGGTGGGTGGGACATGCCGGTGCACGGTTGTGACAAGCCCCACGACCTTTACATCTATGAGGAGAATGGCTGGTTGTGCAACCGCCTCCACCACGCGATGTGGCTTCCTGGCCAGCTTTGAGAAGCGTCGTCTGCCAGGTGCGGGGAGGTGCCTGCCTGTAACGAACTCGCACACGGTTACAGCCCATTTTGGTGGGAGGATGAGCATATGGAACAGTACGCTGGGCAATTATTGGGTGCGAGTACCGTCGAGCGAGAGAATCGCGTGCTACAGTGGTCGTGTGCGTCTTGATCGTGCAGGTAGGGGGAGAAGAGGTAGCTCGAGTGTGGGGAGGGAGTTTGGGGCGTCGCGGAGTAGGAGGTTGCTGCAGCAGAGAGACGGGATGGATTGCGCAATGCTGCACTTGATGGACACAGCGCCGTTTAGAGGAGTGAGCCAGGCTCCGTCGCGAGTGCGGGATGCCGGGGATTCGATGGTGCCCATGGCGTTCTTCAGGTTCGGAAAGAGCAATCTCCCGGACGTTGTGCAGGTTGGATTCCGGTTCTCTCACAATTTCGAGCATGCTTCCTCGTTCTTGTCACTGTAAATCTGGGGCGTTGGATAAGAGAAATGTGCCTGCGGATGTGGATTAGGTGCCAAGTTCGTTTCTGATTTATCAGTATGGTGGGTGTGTTCGCCCAATCCCAAAAGCATTGCAACTCTCTGTGGGAGTGACCTCAATCCAGAGATTGGTTGAAAGAGAGTTGTGAATATTCATCCTAATGCGTTATGTTAGAGACGAGGAGAGAACAATGTTTTCTTCGGGAGAGAGAGATTCTTGTTTGGACGATTTCGGATGAATATTTGGTAATGAATTTCGAATTTAGTCTTTATTCTTCAAAGTTAGTATGCATCGAGACCGGAGAAGGTCTTTGTCCATTGCTGAATGTAGAACAATATTTTGAGTTGTTACGCTGAATTCCATGATCGTCGAGGACCATAAAAGGCCGACTTTGTCACGGTGTTTGGGGTGTCCACTCGCTATTCTACGTGTCCTAAGCAGCTGGTAAGGGTCACCAACGTATAGTCGAATTTCAAGGATGGCGTAGTCAAGTGAAGATAAGGTTCGATCTGCACCATTGCAGATAGCGTAATGTAATCGAGACTCGGATTCCAACAGGTTTTTACTTGGTTAAGGCGAACGAATGAAAAATGCTGTAGTATCATTGTTTTTTTTGTTTACGGGTTCATCGACTTGGAGCACATAAATTGCTGCCTCCGTAATTTTTTTTTTAATCCTATGATCTTGTATGTGGAGCACACCCTGGTTGAATATTAATTTTTGGCGCAGGCAGGAGACCCAGTGCTCCATGAGCCTGCTGAAGAAGTGATGAGGGAAGACATCGGGAGTGCACGTATTGAGAAGGCCATAAATGACATGGTAGATGTCATGCGTGCCGGTCCTGGAGTCGGTCTGGCCGCTCCCCAGATTGGAATTCCTTTACAGGTATGCAATTCTACCAATTGTTGCTTCACAAGAATCCATCTCTCCGTGACGGACATAAGCTTGTCAGTTCAGAGTTAAGCGATCCACCTTGCCCATCTTGAGGTGGTGATCACCGCAACTTGTTACACACAATTTGATATCTGTCGCAGGGTGTGGGGGGAATCTGTATGTAGATTATCGTGCTGGAGGACACGAAAGAGCTTATGAGTTACACCTCTCCTGAGGAGTGTGAAGCCCAACAGAGAACACCTTTCGATCTTTTGGTAAATTAATGCTTGTTTTCTTTATCATATTCTAGAGGTTTTAGATAACTTGGAGCGTCAGCCTAGATCAATTATGGAGGCAATGCTTCATACTGAGGAGAATTCGTTGATACAGAATGAATAGCCATGTCACGAACATGTATATCTAGAAAAACGCTACTCTCTTCTGTACACTAGTTTGTAACTGCCGTAATTAAGCGTGTACCTTTTGATCTGGATATGCAACAATCGGTTGTTTCGAAATAACCGATTGAAGTGATCTCTTAGTTCATGGGTTTACTTTGACGAAGTTATATTTTGACAACGTGCAGGTTATCATAAACCCAAAGCTCGAAATGAAGGCTAGCGGTGGTACAGCTTTTTTTTTCGAAGGTTGCCTCAGGTTTGGGTTTATCCTCTTGCCATATTCTGGTTATTCTTGATGTAACGGAAAATCAAACCGCGTCATCGGTCCCACCTGTTCTTGAAGCAAAGTCTAACTCTTTTATCGTAGAACTTCTCGTCTTGACTATGTAGTCCAAGTGTGTCGACTTTGCATATACTGAAGCAATCATACGGTTCTTCTCACGATTTTTTTTTTTGTTCTCATTGGATCCAGCGTTGCGGGGCATAGGGCCCTTGTAGAACGGCACTTGGAAGTTGAAGTCACAGGTCTTGGAAGAGATGGGCAGCCTTTGCATTTTACAGCTAAAGGATGGAAGGCACGGATATTACAGCATGAGTATGACCACTTGCAAGGCCTTCTGTATGTAGACCGAATGGTGAAGCGAACGTTCCGGAGCACAGACAACCTAAGGCTTCCTTTGCCATCTGGATGCCCTCGTCCTGGTGTTGGTAAAACTCCCACATGTACATAAAGCATTTTCCTGGAGTTACTTTTACTTCGTAGTTTCCAACATTCCACTCAGTAGGTACCATCATTTTATGGATCGTGTGCGTCGAAGCATAGGTTATTTATAAATCAAGCGTTAGCTTTTAGATCTTAACCTCGGGATTCATGGAGAATGCTTTATTGACGTTAAACTCTTTAGATATACCATTCTCTTTGTACGAGACTCTGAACATGTATGAGTCACGAGTGGCACAATGCAGGCTTGATTACGTGTAACATGCATCCTCAAAGTTCTGGCAATTAATTCAACAATACAGACGGATCCCAATTTTTTCAAATCAGTATCACCTCCGTCTACAATTATGCACAATATTGAAAGTGCTTACTTCCAAGAAAATGCCTATTACTAGTCCAGTATGGCAGTGTCATGATCAAATACTTCATCTGACCCGCTATTGGTAGGATCCTTATGAAATGAAACTGCTCAGGTTATACACTCACTCAGTGATGCATTGCCTCCACTTACTACATCTACTGATGTCCTATTATATCTGCATCCACAGCGTTTTCCTGTGAGTGAAAATGTAATGGACTTCACTTAAGATCTCAGAATGTGAATTAACTCGCATCCAACGAAATGGTCTTTTGTTTTTACCTTTAACTGCTGATTCAAAATCCAAAGACGGCTAAGATATATCATCTGAAGTTGATGGAATTGAATGAATTTATTCAATATGCTAAAAGGTGGACCATTATCTACCAATTCTGCGTCCTCCCACAGAGTAGTATTGAATAATTTTGAATACATAATTACTGAAGACGGAAAATGTATTGCTTATGATTACAACAAAGCATATAAATTTACTACACAGGTTAATTTTTTTAGTGCTAGAAGATCCAAGGATAAATGTAAAATTTGTTCCACCTAGCATTGTCTTCACCAGAGGTCATAAGAAAGCTGCACCACGAGGTTGGTATAAGCCATGCAGATCGTACCAGTTGACTACAGAAACATTGGCCCCTGCAGAATAAGAAACTCTTCAACCTGAAAAAGATAAATAAATAAACAAATGCAGCATTAGTAAGTACGCATCACGGTATGAAAGAAACATTCCCATGCTAAAGAATTCAATACTTTACCATACGGTACAACAGCAACATCAAGATTGGAACAAGATGAAATCCTTGTGAAAAAGACTTAAAACAATAAATTCAGATACAAACCATTTCTCGGATGTTAGATTGAAACGGAGCGAGTCTTTGAAACCTTGCTTGCAAATCTAGTTACATTTACAGGTTTGTGTGCATTAAGAACTGCATATTGCAGAGGAGTATTTTGCAGGTTGCAATCCGCAAAATAAAACAACCGCCAGGACACATGAGTACAAAAGTTAACCTCCAACATACCCCATAATGCTGTACTGAACTGGAAGTAACTACAAACATGGGTCCAAAAGCTGAACCATTCTCCATTGTGTACTAAACCTAAAAGCAGTTCCAACTTTGCCAACTGCTTTCTTTCCAACCTACGAAAGGGCCAACCTGTCTCTTTCAGAACCATGACAATTAAAAGCCCCATCACTACTAATGAAAAAATTATACTTCCGGCCCCATGCTTTCGACGACGTCAAGGTGTCCATTTACTGCACACATGTGTAGGTCTGCACCCAACATTCAAGAGCCCTCCAACAGTCAGTCTCTGTAGGTGTCTCAAAAAGGACGTCGCAGAGCCAGCACTGAACCAACACAATATCACAGCGGTTTTCAATTCGAGCAAGTAATTTCTTGGATACTAGTCCGGCGTTGAGTGTCGTAGTAACTTACAGAGAATCTCCATACCTTGCGACCTGCATTATGTCGAAGAGCATCATGATCATTAGAACACCCAAAATCATACAACCCCTATTATTTTACCATTGCTACGATGCTTCAACTATTGCTTGTCTTGGATGCATCACCTATGAAGTTTTCCTAAAACTTTTAAGTACCTCTCGATTATTTTGGGGACAATATATCCGATGGAACATTAGTACAACCTAAACATACTACCTTACACCTAGTGTTACGTGTATAGTAATATTGGAACTAAAATCCTCTACTCAAATCTGAGCCCTTGGGTCATCACTAACGAACTGGCCATCACATACGGAGAAAAAAAAGGGCAAATAAAACACAAGAATTTCAGCACTTCGGAAACAATACATCTAACGAATACCTGAGTAATTTAACATTAAGCTTGCCTGGAGAAAATCACGGACTGGAGCCGGGGTCTGAGGCTGATCTTGTGCAGGATTATTATGGTACACCGGAACCGCCATTTAGATCTTCAAATTGAAGCAACAGCGGAGACTACTGCGCTTAGACACTTTTTGGCTTTTATCAAACTCAGCGTAAGTTTCAGACAGAGCTGATGAGGGTAGTTGTTGCTCTTTTGGAGAACACTAATTGCACATGAAGGACGTCGTGAGGAAGAAGACGGAGTGTCATCCAAATATAAATAAATAGGCTCAAAAGGAAACCACTCGGTTATCATCCGGGCCCAGCTTGCCCTGCAAGTTAGTCACCCAGTTTCAGAAACAGTCTCTATGGATTGCTGTTTCTTGCACAGGCAAACCACGCTTTCAGCTTCATCGTGTCCACTTTCGCTAAGTTCTTCAGCTGTATTATATTTTCTTCTTGCTTTCTTTCTTCAGCGATGTATTTCACGGGCGAGCTCTTCTTGTAATGCATGTATCCTGTTACTTGCCATAATCAATCTTTGAAATGATGATGGTAATGAATTTTTCATGGAAATGACTAACTCAGAGGCTTTAAAAGACATTCTATCGAGGAGGTTTTTGAAATCATCCAAAAGGCATTTCAAGCAGATTGAGGTGGGAGGTTAGAGTTTGAAAGATTGAAGGTGGAAGGGGGCAGCGGTGTGGAGATGGACGGGTTGAAGAGGTTGGAGTATCTGTCTCTTGTGTCGAAGGTTTGCACGGAGTTGGAGGCACACATAGGCTGCAGCGACAAGACCTTGGCGGAGTTCATAGTCGACTTAGCGCAGAAGTGCGAGACGGTGGAGCAGTTCGGGAAGTTGCTCAAGGCCAACGGTGCCGAGATGCCAGAGTATTTCGTAAAGACGTTGTTGACGATTATTCACGCTATCTTGCCGCCAGTGAGCAAGGCGGAGCGGGAGAGGTTGAGCAAGGGTTTAGGCGGGGATAAGGACTTGAAACGGACTGCATTTCCAGGGTTGGCAGTGCCGGATAGTAAGCAGCGGGTGCGGGAATTAGAGGAGGAGCTCGAGGCGGACGGAGTCGGAGTTAGGGTTTCGGAGGGGAGGAGGGAGGAGCGGGGTAGTGCGAAGGATGATGGACGCGGTGGCGAGAGTGATGATGGTGTCAGAGACAGGGATCATCGGAGGGACAGGGAGAAAGATAGTGTGAGGGTTAGGGATGGTGGCGGGGAGCGGGACGGGAGGCGGGATGCGAGGGGCAAACCTTACGACAGGGAAGATCGTCGGGGGAATGGAGGTGGGCGAGCTAGAGAAAAGGAGCGTGGCGGTAGAGATAAAGACGATGTAAGTGGTTGGAGGAATAATGACAGGTATGGTGGTGAAAGTGGAAGAGGAAGAGGGAGGGATAGGGAAGTCGATTACGAAGATGGAGACAGAGTTGGTCCTAGCTCAGGGAGTGTTGTCCCAAGCAGAGCGCCAGTCGTGGATGAGCCAGAGCTTTACGGAATATACAAAGGGAGAGTGTCCAGGATCATGGATTATGGTTGTTTTGTGCAATTGTTAGGGGTTAGGGATCGGAAGGAGGGGCTAGTGCATGTGTATAATATTGCGTCTCGACGGGTTGTCAATGCCAAGGATGCCGTCGAACGGGACCAGGAAGTGTGGGTGAAAGTTTTGTCTGTAAGTGATAAGAAGATTAGTCTTAGTATGCGAGACGTTGATCAGAAAACAGGAGAAGATTTACTTCCCATGAAGCGTACGACAACTGAAGAAGAAAATTTGCGTGCCAATCCATCCAGCTCTAGTTTGGCTCCAGAGATGCGAAAGGGACTGTCGGGTATAACTATTGTGGAAGAAGAAGATAACACTTCAAACCGTAGACCCATGAAGAGAATGAGTTCGCCTGAGCGATGGGAGGCCAAACAACTTATTGCATCAGGTGTGCTAGGTGTTAGAGACTACCCAATGTATGATGATGATGGTGGAGGAATGCTGTATCATGATGAAGGTGCGGAAGAAGAGCTTGAGATCGAGCTCAATGAGGATGAGCCAGCTTTTCTTCGGGGCCAAACTCGTTACTCAGTCGATGTTTCTCCAGTGAAGATTGTGAAGAACCCTGATGGTTCGTTGCAAAGAGCTGCCATGACACAGTCTGCGCTTGCTAAAGAACGACGAGAATTGAGGGAGCAGCAACAACGGACAATGCTCGATTCCATTCCAAAGGATCTGAACAGGCCTTGGGAAGATCCCATGCCAGAAACTGGTGAGAGACATCTCGCGCAGGAGCTGCGAGGAGTAGGTCTGTCAGCCTATGATATGCCGGAGTGGAAAAAGGATGCGTTTGGAAAGGCTCCCACTTTTGGGCAAAGGTCCAAACTTTCGATTCAAGAGCAGAGACAGAGCCTACCCATATATAAGCTGAAGAACGAGCTTATCAAGGCGGTGCACGACAACCAAGTTTTAGTTGTGATTGGAGAGACAGGTTCTGGGAAGACTACGCAGATGACTCAGTACCTCGCAGAAGCTGGTTACACAACCCGCGGAAAGATAGGTTGCACTCAACCCCGGCGGGTTGCTGCCATGTCTGTGGCGAAGAGAGTAGCGGAAGAGTTTGGATGTAGACTTGGGGAGGAGGTAGGGTATGCGATCCGGTTTGAGGACTGTACAGGTCCCGAGACAGTTATCAAATATATGACGGACGGGATGTTGTTGAGGGAGATCTTGATAGACGAAATGTGTGCATCGTATTCAGTCATCATGCTTGATGAAGCTCACGAACGTACTATCCATACAGACGTTTTGTTTGGGCTTTTGAAGGGGCTTGTGAAACGCAGACCTGATTTACGGCTTATTGTCACTTCGGCTACGCTGGATGCGGAGAAGTTTTCGAGATACTTTTTTGATTGCCCTATCTTCACCATACCTGGAAGAACTTATCCGGTGGAAATACTATATACGAAGCAGCCGGAGACTGATTATTTGGATGCTGCCTTGATTACTGTCATGCAGATTCATCTCACAGAACCTGAAGGTGATGTTCTCCTTTTCTTGACAGGGCAAGAAGAGATTGATACTGCATGCCAAATTCTCTATGAGCGGATGAAGGGTCTGGGACCTAATGTGCCAGAACTGATTATTCTTCCAGTTTACAGTGCTCTGCCTAGTGAAATGCAGACAAGAATTTTTGAACCCCCACCACCTGGTACAAGAAAGGTTGTTGTTGCAACAAATATTGCTGAGGCCTCTCTCACAATTGATGGAATATACTACGTTGTGGATCCTGGATTTGCAAAGCAAAACGTTTATAATCCTAAGTTGGGTCTGGATTCTTTGGTAATTACTCCAATATCACAGGCTTCTGCCAGGCAACGAGCTGGGCGTGCAGGAAGAACTGGACCTGGCAAGTGTTACAGGTTATATACGGAAAGCGCATATAGGAATGAGATGTTACCTACAACAGTACCAGAAATTCAAAGAGTTAATCTTGGTTTGACAACATTGACAATGAAAGCAATGGGAATTAATGATCTTCTATCCTTTGATTTCATGGATCCCCCTCCACCCCAAGCACTTATATCTGCTATGGAACAGCTTTACAGCCTTGGAGCCCTTGATGAGGAGGGTCTTTTGACCAAGCTGGGAAGAAAGATGGCAGAGTTTCCACTGGAGCCACCTCTTTCAAAGATGCTTCTAGCCAGTGTGGACTTGGGTTGCAGTGACGAAATCTTGACCATTATTTCTATGGTGCAAGCTCAGAATATCTTTTACCGACCACGAGAGAAACAAGCACAGGCTGATCAGAAGAGAGCGAAGTTTTTTCAAGTAGAGGGTGATCATTTGACACTGCTGGCAGTATATGAAGCTTGGAAAGCTAAGAACTTTTCAGGTCCCTGGTGTTTTGAGAATTTTGTGCAGTCTCGATCGTTGAGGAGGGCTCAAGATGTGCGGAAGCAGCTTCTTACGATTATGGATAGGTACAAGTTGGACGTTGTGAGTGCAGGCAAAAATTTTACAAGAATACGAAAGGCAATAGCAGCAGGGTTTTTCTTCCATGCAGCTCGGAAGGATCCCCAGGAGGGTTACCGTACTCTGGTGGAGAACCAGCCAGTATATATCCATCCAAGTAGTGCTTTGTTTCAGAGGCAACCTGATTGGGTTATCTACCATGAGCTGGTGATGACCACAAAGGAGTATATGCGAGAAGTGACTCTAATGGACCCTAAATGGTTGGTTGAACTGGCTCCACGTTTCTTCAAAGTTGCTGATCCCACAAAAATGAGTAAGAGGAAGCGACAGGAGCGAATTGAACCTCTCTACGATCGATACCATGAGCCAAATTCATGGCGCCTTAGTAAGAGACGGGCTTAAATACTTGGGAAAGTTTCAAGGCAAGCAGAGTCCTTCTCTACACGGATGGGAGGTGTATTACGATTGTTTAGAGAGTCTCGGGGAGGAATGTCGTGAAGCAAACTCGCCATTAGCAAGTGCTTTTTTGTCTAACCTGCCGCTTGTGCTGCACGAAGGCTCGGCTTCCATGAGCTCACAGCAGTTCCGAATGCCTTTGATTTTAGTCATGGCATGACACCTTACTGCATATAATGTGGAGATCATTAATGGTGAGAAACGACTGCAGCAGGTACATCAGCTTATTTGTCTTTTTGGATTCAGATCTCAATTTCTTGAGTAGGTCAAGAGAAGCCTTTCCTCAAACTTGTATTCTAGTCCAGATTTCAATATGGTAGTTGTCCGCTGGAGGCCAGGTTGGAACTTCTAGTGTGCCTGGTTTGGTACTAGTGGTTTCGACAGGGATGTGCCAGTTTTAGATTTAAAAGCTTCAAATGGCTGACTTTTTCTCTTTCCTGGTGGAAACAGGGCCTAAATGATACATGGATGTTTCATTCGAATGTAGATCTAAGGTCACGGAGCTTCTGATGCTCGAGATAGTCTACAAGCTTGAAACCTGATAATGCCATCCATGCGCAGTTTTAAAGATTTGGAGGTCCATCGTGCAGGCACTGAATATTTTGCACACCCATGTTGACGACTTTGCTAACGTTACAGTTATTGAAATCCTTTCTTCAATTCTTTGTCTTGTTTTCGGAAAGGTTCGAACATGGGTTGCCTTGTTTTTGAATTGCTGGATGTGAAAGTAGGATTCTGTTGATTTACTTAAACTAAATACTCTTGTTAAATCTGTGACTTTATGCCCTTTCTGGGGTTCAGTTAGGCAGAATAAGTGCTGAGCTGGTACGAGGATGACTACCAGTTTTGTGTTAAATTCATTGAAACCGACTCTTGCTACATCCGGTTGGGCTCCCCGTCTGCTGGAGTAGGAACCTCCAAAGGGGCATGAAGTGACTAGGAAAGCATGCATACTTGTGATGAGAACCCCAAAGCACAAAATACCTGTATGTATCTATCATGTAAACATAGAAATCTTCTCATTGGCCGTGAAGAAAGGAACTTGGGGACATGGGAGCACTGGAACTCCGTAGTTTGGAAGAAATTGCTTTTAGAAACTTTTGCTAGTATATATACATATAAACATAATGATGAAACTAATTAGGTGTGGATTGGAAGCTTTGAACATTATGGGATGGTCTTTTTATCTTGTGATGTCTTAGCATTATTGGCACAGTTGAAGTCACCCTTCATATGCAAGCTTAAGGTTGAGGATATAAAAGCAAATACAAATTATATAAAAAGACATAGATGGAAAGAGAGTAATAACAAAGATAAAAATCTATAAAAGAAAATTTGTTTGCTTGTTGATTTTGAGATAGTATTAAGAAGAGTAAATTTTATGATTTGATTAGTTTTTAAAATAGAATCATATATAAAAAAGGACATTAAAAAGCAATAAGAGAACATATATTCTTTTAAAATGAAAAATATACATGCATGTTGAATTGTGAAGGAGGAATAAGAGGTATCAATGGTAGTGGCATTAAAAATATATTGTAAATTTGGTCATGAATTTAATAAGAAATATACTAAAAAAATATTTTTTTAAGATTTTATTTTATAGATTACTTAGTATGTATAGAGTTTAGAATATTAATAGACAATTCAATGGTATATGTTAAGATTGAATATTTCTAAAACCATAATGTTATTATGTACTATATAAAGAAAAGATCCAAATTTATTGATTTTGATGAATGAGTAGTGCAATTAGAAAAATAAGTTCAAAAATAGATTTTAAAAAATAATATAGTTACAATTATAGGAATTTAAGTATACTTAGAAGATAACATTTAAAAGTCATTGGAAGATGTGAGTACAACCAATAGATCATTAGATTGTTTAGTTATAATTTTTTTTGTTTTTAAATAATGCTACAATTGAATCCAAATTATACAATTAAAAATAAAAAGTGTGTTTTTAAAAACAATAGTAAACTTAGTTTGGCCAAAAAATGGTTATTATCAAAGACAAGAAGACTAGAAACTCTTTAAATAAGATTAAGAACAAAAAAAACATTTACAAGAATGAAGAGAGTTTCACTTTAGTCTCAATATATACTAACTAAGAGCTACATAACAACATTTTATAGGACCTCCAACACAAGTTCAACATGTTTAATTTATAAGACAAGTTTTTTATGTGTGAAGGCTAATAAATAAATGAGATTTTTTTCAAAGAAAGATAACAAAATGATAGTAAGTAAATATGCATATTCAAAAGAAACTAGAACGGCTTTTGCCAAAAGACATGAAAACTAAAGATCCTTAAAACTAGATTAAAAACATAAAATGACTTAAAAAGAGTGAAAAAGGCTTTATTCTTGCTTCTATATATATACTATCTAATTAAGAGCTACATATTGATGTTTTATAGGACCTCTAATACATATCCAACTTATGAGAGATGTATCAATCTTACAAGATTAGTTTCTTACATTTACACCACATAGTTAGATTATACCACAAATTATCAACATGTACAACAAGTGGCTAATTTATTGGCCAAGTTTTCAACCTATCAATCATCTATAGAGCTGTATAACAATAAAATTGTGTCTATGAAACTACCAAAAAGCTTTTCATAAGATATTATCAAATATATCTATTTTAATCTACTTCTATTAATTCATATTATCTAGATAATCACTTGAATAAATATGTATGTCCATATCATTATTTCCCTCTTGTAACAAGGTATGGATAAGATAATTATATTGTTGACACATAGAGATAGATAATTAGGGCTGTTTTTGAGAAGTTTTTAGAATTTTTTAGAATTAGGGCCAAGTTGGTGGTATATGTGGAGCCTACTATAGAACATTCTAGAAGAATTAAAGGTGATTAAAGAATCTTCTAAAAAAAATAATTATCTTTATGGAGCTTATTATTAGAGACATTTTAGAAATTTCTAAGATGGTTGGATAAAGTATAAATATGATTAACTAAGGCCATTTGAAGCATTCAATCAAATAAGACTTTGGACACTTTCTCTTAATAAAATTTGGTTTGCATTTTTTGTTCTATTCTCTTCTATTTATTTTTGTTCTATTTTGTCTTTTATTTTCTATTTTGTTTATTTCTATTTAGTTTTGTTCTGATTTATTTCGTCTTACTTTGTGATAGAATTTATATTGCTACAAATTTGAAGGATTTTAGATCTTTAAGAGAATTTACTCTCATTTCATTAGTATCAAAGCAAGTATTAGTCTGTTCTTTAGTAATATATTAATAGCCATTATCTAGTTAGAAATCAATTATTGTCGTCACATCGATTATTATTTTGAAGCTACTACAAGCTACTTTTAAGAAATCAATTGAAAGAATAGAAGGCATTACGATAGCAAAGTTTGGCAAGGAAATTGCAGCATGGGAGATATGAGAGAGCCATCTTAAATAGAGGCTGAAGTGCAACATCTTCTAGACCAAATAGCTACTTTTCAAGACAAATGGAAGCTTTTAAGACAAGAAAATTGACATCTCCTAGGCTGAAATTAAGCAAGCTTGAAACATATTCTGGAACTTCAAGGCAAGAAGATGTATGCCAATGGCTCTTTAATATGAGACAATATCTCCAACTATCTAGGGCAAGCACCACTCAAGGAATTATGTATGTAGCTAGCTATTTGAGAAATAAGATAGCTATTTGGTGGCAATATCAAACTCAAAACTATGGAGCTTAAGATAGATTTTATAACTAGGAAGAGTTTGAAACTGAACTTAAGAATGAATTTTGGCCAATCAAAGTAGAAAAGTTAGCACTCAATCAATTGGCTAACCTTATATAATTGAAGTCAGTACAAGATTATGTTTCTTGATCAAGTCTTTATATCTTTAAATTGGTAACGTTTCAAAAGTAAAGATCATGGATTGATTTGTATGAGGATTGAAACCTATGGTTCACCAAGATATAGAATTAAGAGATCCACAAACATTTGAAGAGGCAATTAGGATTGTAGAGAGGATTGATGCTATAGATTTCAAAAACTGTGAAACACGACCTATAGGACAAAATCCTATGCCATTATCTAATATTATGAGACAAAAAACAACACAAATGGAGATTAACATCTTACAAGGACTATTGACATGACAAAGATGAAAAATATTGGCACAAAAAGAATTGTGTTATTATTGTCAAGAACCATGCCATTAGATTCAAAATTATTTGAATCGTCAAAATTCAGATATCAAAAAATTAAAGTGTATTCACAATCTTGAGGCTCACCAAGATGACAAAGAAGTGGAACAAAAAATAATGCTATCCACTAAAAGCATTGAAGGCTAAAATAAGAGATAGTTGATGTCTCTCAAAGACAAATAATATGACCTTGAATAACTATCAAAAGGGTCGATTGGTGTGTCTAGCGGGTCAACTAAGAGGACAATTATATTGAGTGCTTTTAGATTGCAGTTCTATAAAAAATTATATCTCAACTAAGATTCTCAACCAACTTAGGATTAAAACCAAGGTGATTAAAGGAAGAAGTATACATCTAGTTGATGATCAAGAGAACATATTAAGTGAGACATGTGAAGAAGAAATCTTGAAGTTGAATGATACTTATGCCTTGAGAAAGAAGTTCAAGGTAACAAAGTTCAGATATGATGTCATGCTTGCTACGGAATGGCTAGAAGTGGAAAATAAGGAAGTTGATTGGCTAATAAGGAAAATCTCTTTCAAAGGTGATGGATACAAGGTGACTTTTTGTATCTTTGCATCAAGTGAGATAACAAAATAACTACAGCTAAAAGCTTATTTGTAGGCATGACCTTTATGAAGAAACAAATATTACATAAGCAATTAGTATATATAGTGGTTCTAAATCTTGCCTCAATTGTGAGAAAGATAATTGAAGGATTAGAATAGGCAAAGCAAGTCATACATGAATATTAGGATGTTTTTTCAATTGAATTACCTAGTGGTGTGCCACTTGATTGAGGTGTCTTCTTTCAAATAGAATTATTACTTGGAACCAAATCCATAAGTCATCCAATTTATCACCTAGCACCAAATAAACTTAAAGAGCTACAAAATACATTGGAAGAACTTTTGGAGAAGAATCTTATTGAAGAAAGCATATTGCCATAAGAAGCACTTGTATTCTTTGCATCCAAAAAAAGATGGTGGACTTTGACTTTGTATCAATTATCGAGGCTTCAATAATCAAATTATTAAGAATGCATATCCACTTCTATGCGAGGATGTTTTTCTTGACTAACTTCAAAATGTAATCATCTTTAGCAAATTAGACCTTTGCACTAGCTGTTGGCAGATACCTATTGCAAATGATGATATAAAAAAGATGGCATTCCATATGTGCTATGGACATTTTGAATGGCTTGTTTTATCTTTTTGCTTTATTAATGCTCTAGCTTCCTTCATGGATCACATGAACAAATTGTTTTGGGACCTTTTACATAAGTATGTAATTGTCTTCATCAATGATATCCTAATCTATAGTAAAACTCTTAAAAAGCATGAGCAAAACCTATGAGAAGTATTGCGCCAACTATGAAATAGTTATTACTATTGTAAGCAATCAAAATGTGAACTTTGGAAGTTCGAGGTCATCTTTTTAGAACATGTAGTATCCTTTGAAGGCATGTAGTATCCTA